ACACACACACACACACACACACACACACACACACACACGAACTGAAGTCATCCTTTAAATGACATGAATGAGACGGTCAATGGCCCTTCCCAGCTCATCATACACTGGAGCAAAGCTTGCAGCTTGGATTCATTCAGCCCACCTGTGAGGCCCAGTCCACACTCAGATGAATTCACAAGTAGAAGTCCATCAAACCTGACCTAAGGTGGCTCTTTTGACCTTCAATTGCCTTCCACCCCCCTCCCCCAACATAGTTCGAACTGATATACTGGCAAGTCTGGGTATCTCAACATGTATGAAATACCATGCCAGCATAAAGGCCACAAGCCCCACCGGTTCCCCGTGTCTCTCATTTCATCTCACTGATGAACAAGCCCCACCGGTCTGTTTGTCGAAGCTGAGGCTGGATTTCCACACATTCGTGAGGTCTCAGCATTCAGCTCAGGGCTGAGTGCTGGCATCCTCCATGGCTCTCTGCAAAAGTACCACCTTCCACCCCACATTCACACTTCAGTAAGACCTGCCATTTCATGAGGAAGACTCCATGTAGCCTGCACAGTGGAAACTGGCCAACAGCCACATGGAAACCAACATTACAATACGCTGCTAACAGAATCACCACACCAAGGGACACTGATATCCAACCCTCAGATCAAACGTAGGTTAACATTTATGAAGTTCTCCATCAAGCTTACATTTCTCTTGCCACCCCCCCCACTTTCCCTTCCCTTTCTTTCACAGCTGCAAGCATCTTCCATTTTGTCCTAAAGAATTAAATCAATAGACTGAATTAGAAAGCATCAATAATAACAAGAAACCCTTATCTTTGAAAATAAGAGAAAATTTAGTTTCCTGTGTAGAACTTGGTTTTATTTACAGAAATCAAAAAGGCCTTTACAATAATAATATTAATTCTAAAAACCACGTTAAAATTTTTTATATTCTTTATAACATAGACATGATATTTTAACAAGTAATACTTTTCTTATTAAAGCCGATTCAATATTTTTCCAATTTACTATCATTTTATAAAAAAGAAAAATCTCACGGCCAAGTGGGGTTGAGTCAGAGCGTCTCATGGCCCTCAGCACTCCCCTCTCAGGCCAAGGTTTGCTGGGTTAGAGGCCTCGAGGGTGTACGGCACTATGCTCAGGAATATCAAGGTTTGATCTTTAGGGGTAGGCTCTTATACTGTGTATGCATCTTACTATATATGAAAATGGATCAGGTCACAAATTAAACCATCATAACTTTAATTCAAATGTTACTATTCATTGTAATGACCCCGGTTGATGTCTCTGTTCGCATTACTGTTTCATCTTCCCAGTGAGCTCTTAAAGAGCCCCCTCGAAGCCCCTTTGGAATAGAGACTTGGGATTGTTTACTGGAAGAACAAAGCAGCCCCGAGGCTTTGAAAGGATATTAGGTGCCTTGATTGTCAGGTGGCTTTGCAATTAGGGTGCACTCTGTATCAGCTTTGCACGGGAGCCACTGCATTACAAACTCCAGTCCTCTTTGGAAGGGAGGTTTATGCAGAGAACTCATAGGACATACATATATATATATATATATCAGCATGAGCTCTCAATTAAAGCCCCACCAAACCTTCAGACTCCATATCATGAGGTCCTAGCCATGTCTCATCTCTGTCACATTTGAATTCTAAGTGCCCCAATTGCTTGACACCAGGATCTTTCATTCCAAGTACTCTGCCCGTCGCCTGCTGGCACTCAGACAACTGCCGGCCTCAGCCAGAACTCGACTCATTTCCTACTTGAAATCATATTCTGTTTCTACTGAAAATCTGGCCGCACGTGATTTCTTTTGAAAGAACCAACGTGAGGTTTGCCTCCTCTCCCCCATCCCTTTCATTTTTACCTTCCGTGCTGGGCTTTTTCATTTCTTCCACCCTAATTAGTTTCTTTCTGACTCTTCGAGTGGAGTTTACCAGCTTGTGTAACCTCTTAAACTTCACCGACTCCTCGGTCTCATCATCCGATTGTTCTCTTGACTGGCAAAGAAACAGAGGGACAGTTAATCAGTTAATTGCTCCAAAGTCATGCCCTCCCAGCTGGCGTAGCTGGCCTCTCAGCCAAGGCCAGACACCCGGAGCTCCTCTGCCAAACTTGGGACATCAACAAATCTACCCAACAGGTTTACAAAGACCCTCGTACCCGCGTGGTCTAATTCAGCAGAGTGTCAATCCTAAAGACAATGTATGTATCTTTGTCCTTGACTACCATGGGGGAGTCCGTCCCGTCATTCCACTCCCTGAGTCTTTCAGGCAGAGTCCAGCAGGACTCTCTCCCCAAGCTGGCCCTGGAATTCCAGTTACACTGCTGCGGTTTGGGCCAGGCTCTCCTCTGTCGGCCCATTGGGACCGGCTGTTGAACGTGGTCATCAACCACTTCTCCAAACCAAAATTTTGTTGACTTTTTCCAGCGCCCCTTCCCCCACCAAAAAGAAAAAAAAATCAAAACCAGCAGGCAGAAAAGGGGAAGTAATGAAAAAGAAAGCAAGCCCTTCTATCCTATCGGTTGGAACTGCTAGCCACATCCCCACCATCCCTTCACCACCCCCAGCTCCTTCTGAGCGCTCACGAGGCAAGGTTGAAGACAGCCCCACATTCCTCCAAAGAGACAAGGGAAAAAGCTGACCTTTACAGCCATACAGCACAGTCCATATTCCCCAGCATCCCAATCCATTTTGCAGCGACTCAAGTGTGCTCTGGCCCAGCTGTTTTCCCTCAAGTATCAAACATTACAGAGGGTGAAAAAAAAAATCTCTCTCCATAGCAGGGACCCAAGCTAAAAACAATCCTTTCCTTGTGACCAGAGCGAGGGCTTCATTTCCAAGTCCATTCCAACACTCAGTATGCAGCTTCCTCTGCTGTATCTGTTCAAAATGTGAAGAAGCAAAGGACGTTTCCCACTGGAGCAGCCTGTTGCTGCACCACCAGGCCGTGTGCTTGGGCCTTTTGGGAACCCCCGAGCCTCAACATACCCAGCCGGTAGTCAGGGACAAGGTCCGGCTAATCCTGCACATCCTGAGCACCCCTCTGCCCTCAGTGCAACTCTCAGGGAGAGAGATGACTCAACCACCCCTCCCCAACAAAACAAAAACAAACACCATCTCAATCTGAGACCAACGAGGGGAACTTTTCCTCAAGAAAAGCTCTCCCTAACCTCAATTTTTTAGGCAATAAAGTAGGTAAATAAGAGAATAGCACAAAGAAGAGAGGTAGAGACCATATAGATTACTTAGAAACGGTGCACGCTGGGAAGGCAGAGACATTCTTCTCGGTGAGATACAGTACTCTCCTCTGGATAGACTTGATCCATTTTCCTTGGAGGCCACTCCAAGTACATGGGGCCACTGTACCTTCTTCCTGTCTGACTATGCAAACAATTTACCCACTAATTTAATTAGTACACCCTCAGCAAACCATCAGACTGGAATATTCCTCAGTCTTCCCGTCTGTGAAATGAATCAATAGCTATGTCCAACTTCTCTTAAATTCCTGTGAAAATACTGCCTGCAGACTCACAATTAAAGTTGCCTTCTGTCAGGCTGGAGAGATGGTTCAAAAGATGGCTCAGCAGTTAAGAGCACTGACTGATCTTTCAGAGGACCTAGTTTAAATTCCCAGCACCCATACTGAATTCACAACTGTCTGTGATTCCTGTGCCAGGGGATCTGGCATCTTCACACACACACACACACACACACACACACACACACACACACACACCACCACTGCACATAAAATTAACAAATCTTTTTACAAGTTGCCTACTGTTTACTTGGAAAACTAGAAGAAAAATGGGAACCCCACCCTCCACCTCAGTAAGGGAAACAGGCGGTTATGTTGAACAATTAGGGTTGGACTTAGCTGAAAGATGTACATTAAAAAAAAAAAAGAAAGAAAGAAAAAGAAAGTTTAGCTCCAAATATAAAATGATACCATCTGGTTTAAATCTCATTTTTACTTTGTTGAATTGTTGACGTGTAAGGAAATGGAATGGTCAGAGTGGCCAGAGAGGGCATGAGAACTTGGTTACCCTCATTCTGGGTCATGAGCACCTCAGTAAGTCAGAGCACACTGAATTCAGGCAAATGTTTCAATACACTGTTCAAGTATCAGCAATTAAAAAAGAAGAATTAACCTTATACCAAATGAGAACAAAACAAACAAACAAACAAAAACAGGCTAGTATCTAACCTTTACATCATAAATTCCAGAGTCAAGTCAAAGTTGAAATAAGCACCAAGCGTTTGTACTTAGGAGATAGGAAGCTGTATTGTGAGATAAAAATCTGTGATATAAATATGCTCCACAGCTACTTCGTTGGTACTGGCTGGTGGCGGTTTGTTTATTGGGGGCGGGGGAAGGGGAGCATATGAAAGCATAAAAAGGAATAGAATTCATATATCGGTAACACAAAAATGTACAAAAAAGCATGCACAGAAATAGAAAAGGTACATTTGCGTGGGCTTTCCAAGAAGAAATCAAAATAGTCACACCAGGACATGAGGCTGAACGCCAACATCTCCGCTCCCTGCCCCAACACACACACAGAACCTTCCTTTCCTCTGCCTGGATTCACTGTGGTGGAAAGTAGCATATTCCAGGTACTTCCTAACTGCCTCCGAGTGTTCTCCCACTCCTGGAGCACATGTGCTCTTAAGAACCTTATACTGTCCTAAGTCAGTGGCGGTTCTGGAGGGGTTGGCCGCTGACAAATCTCAAGCCATGGCAACTAGGGACTTCCTCTGTGGTGTCATGCGTGGACCCTGGGCGGGCTGGCCCAGCAGGACACTGGAGAAATACATGCACGTGCGTGCTATCTTCTCAGTACAAGATTCCTCTGCCGTCGCCCTGGGAGCCGAGTTCAACCAGTGACTCAAGGCACTTTTTACGGCTGTACGGCTGGGGAGGGTCAATTCCTGGGTTCCGTCTGAGTCCCAGGGAAGGGACTTGTGAGATATTTGCCTTTAAGGAATTCTCTGCAGCTGTTTTCATATGAAGACACAGTGACTGCATGTCTTCTAAACTGTGTAGTAAATTCTTCACTGTTTGTTTCCCTTTTAAGTAACCATGTGTTACTTTCTCAACACTGAAAGCATCACGGCATATATATATGTATATATATATACACACACACACACATATGTGTACTATACAATACACATATTGAATAGTACATGCATGTATGCACTATACAATGTATGGACTGTGTAGTACATGTATGTATGTATACAATATACATATGGTATAGTATATATATATATATATATATATATATATATCATGCTTTTTACTCAGGAAATTGACTACCATAAAAGGGAGTTTGAGAATCTTTTAAATTAAGAATCATTAAAAACATGAGTACATTAATTTTAAAATAATTGAGACAGAGTCTTATTAACAGAAAATAAATATTGTAAGTATTTTTTTAAGTACCGTCCTCCATAAAGGGGGTTTGTAGAATATAAAGGATTTCTACTTTGTATATAAGTGATTTGAAGAAATAGGCTTATAGCCAACACAGATTCACATAAACCAAAACAAAAACAGGAAAGCATGTGTTCACACATATTCAAACATTTTTCCGTCTTTGTACCCCTGCACCTCTAAGTTGGAGTTTATTAAATGTTAGTGAAGTAAACTTTAGCTTGATCATCTTATAAACAAGAAGGCGAGTCTGTCAGCTGTATCTGCCCCCATCCCAAACCATCCAGAGAAAAGAAGCAGCACCTCACTAAAAGACGTGCAAAATGCCTTTACAGCATCATAAACAAAAAAAATTTAATTTCTAAGCTTTCTGCTGCAGATCTTTCCACCAGAAAACCCATATGGCTCAACTTTTAATTACTTTGGCTAATGCTATATGTAGTAATTCTGTGGTGAATGCTTAAGTGTTTCATTTCTGGTTTCCATAGCAACATTACATCAGATTGCAGACAGCTGGCTCCACAGTTTTAAACCATAACAAATTGACCAAGCCCAGGCACAAAACTCTAGCTGCTTTAAAGAGATAGCACACTCTTGGACTGCTAGGCTCTGAGTGAGGAGTCTAGGGCGGCTTGGCGTGGACAGGAGGGCGGGGCCTCCTTTCTTCCCAGCTTCTCTTGGAACAAGTGCATCCTCTGACACATCTGTGATGCTCTAATGGGAAAAGCCACGGAGCCAGCATGGAGAACTTTTCATAACACAACTACACGCAATGTACTCGGAAAAAGGGAAGAAAATTAATCGCATCTGTAAAGAAGATCAGTGTGCTGGCGTACTCTAAAAGCTCATCCTCTCACTGCTTATCCTGAGCCTATCACTGCTGACTGAAACAGATACTTCACTGGTCCTCAGAGCCAACAGTTTTTACATCTGTGATGAGCAGTTAAATGATTTGCAAAAGTTTAGTGGCACAGTAGCAATGGATGCAGCGGAATTAAGTGTTAACTCATACTTTCAGGGAATAGCCAGATTTTTGGGAGAACCACACGAGACCATCCTGAGCCCAGGGTTACAGTCTGCCTCTCCGGCTCCAAATCCCAGACACAATGTCACAGTCAACAACCAGAACAGCCCGACTTGGTCACTCTACCTCCCCCACAGCGAGGCCACATCGGACAATACATAAGCATTTCTGAGAAGTAGTTTACAATTGCAAATATACTTGCTTGAGAGTCACACAACATTTTTGTTTGAACTTAGCTCATAAGAAGGCAGACGCAATTCAACTTCCTCCGGCCAAGCTGTCACTACGCTACTTCTAAAAGTTATGAGAAGAAAGCCAATCAATCAGACGGCATGCTAAATGCCGTCTGGATCTAAGTCCTTCACACAGAGTCAGCACAGCTCACAGAGTGGCTGCAGCCCACGCTTGCTCATTCTTTCATATTCTCAAAATAATGTTCATTACCCTCCAAAAGCTATGTATGGTGACTGGGTGAACCAGCTGGGAGAGAATGTGCAGGGGTAGAAGGCAGGAAAGCAGCTAGGAGGAGATG